CCATTTTGTTTTTTCAAATTGATCAGCAAATATACCTGGTGAGATTATGAGAATGTATTTTTTATTTTGACTGTAATTGTTAGGGTGAAACTCAAATGTTTGGGTATTTTTTAATTTTGTTGTTTCACTTGCAGATAAAGTATAATAATTTGATTAATTTCAAAAAAAAACTTGCAGTTGTCTGCAACAACACAATAAACTTATAAACTTTTGGTTCAGCTATTTGTATTTAATACATTTTGATATATTATCTATTTTTTATCCGCCATTTTCTTTTTTAAATTGATCAAATATGGCGAGATTATAAAAAAGTATTTTTTATTCCGACTGTAACTGTTAAGGTAAAACCAAAAGTTGATGTATTTTTAAATTAAATATTTCACTTGCAAAAAGGATAGTTTGTATTGCGATTATTTATATTTTTTATTGCTAATTTAAGGATTTGTTATTTACAGGTTATGTAGATCTTTAAGTACTGTAAATTTGCAATAGATGGCACTGTATTACAATTCAATTATTTAAATATATCACATCATATGTTGTTTTCAAATTTACATATGACATAACTAACCTCACTTTTTATATTTTTTCGAGTACTATTATTTCACATGTTGTTATAATTTAATTAATAGTTTATTAAATAAATTATAACAATTATTACAAATTTATGTAATATAATTGTGTGTATAATAAATAATAGTAATAAATAATAAAAGTATATACCATAATAAATAATAATATGTGTAATAAATTAATTTATTACATTATTTATTGTAATTATACAAATAATAACAAAACCGCAACAACATTTGTGAGCATTCTAGTATTCCACATTTTTTATCAACCATTTTGTTAACGGAAATTATTCAAATTGATATTACCCATTAAACAATTGTCATCCATTTTTATTATCAACATCACATGATTATCTTCCATAACCTAAATCTTATCAAATCCCATATAAACAATACGATAAAAAAAAATGTATATATAAAGTCAGGAAATAGAAAATTGATGAATTTAAAAATAACTAGAATAGGGGTGTTGTAAAACCCCTTGAAAATGTTATCCTACCTTTTTTTTTTTGATACTCTTCCATGTTGTGTTAACTAATGAATTGCAATGGCTTCATTGTGCTGCTTATACGATATCATTATTCCATGAAAAACAATATGTAGTTAATACGACTACTATATTGAACACAACACACACACACACACATACCTTTTGGATCATTTTACAATCGATTTTGTTTTGCGAGATCACGTTACAGAGAATATGAGAGAGAAAAAGAGATAGATAAAATCCTCTATCATTATAAGCTATTTAATGGGAAGTTGGTTGTGTTGTTGTTGCTGCTGTTGTTGGTGTCCTATTTTATGCATACAAGTTAGCATACTGTATGATTATAATAATAAAGGATAATAAGAACAGTTGACATAAAAGAGAATAATATAATAACATGATGAATTGATTATAAGATTTCATTCTAATGAGGATTTATTTATTTTTCTTGTCTTCTTTTTATTTCCAGGTATCCAACTTTCTAACAACGTGGATCAAGGACTGCACGAGTGAACCGCACAGAGAGATTCATTTCGAAATAAGAAGAATATAAAAAAAAAAGAGAAGTTGTTGTTTCCAATGAAGTATGAAAAAAGTATCAAGGATTATTTCTTATTTGCACATTGGACGACTTGGCAGCATATTATTGGAAGAACAGAAGAAGTCAACAATTTGTTTTAAATAAAATTGAAAATTTCTTGAGGATATTTATGATCTGTGATATCCAATGATGATAATTTCTATTTACAAGAAAAATATTCAATCTTAAGGAAACTTTTGACATTTAGAATATAATGTCATTATCGTAATTATTAAACAAAAGAAAATTATTTAATTATTAATATTAATTGTTAATTTAGACTTCAAGAAGTTGTCTTCTGTCAAAGAGTGAGGACAATTTTTCTCAGTTCATGCTATTTATTTATTCTCATTGTGAATGATTTATCAATTGACATAACTAATTGGGTTATGATAAAAAAAAGGGCTGGGAAACAACAACAAAATATATTCAACAAAATGTGACGGGCTAATTTGGAACTAAAAACAAATATATACATATATATATATCTATATATGTCTAAGGATGTAGATATATAAATATCTGACTGATTTGAGATTCTAAACAAACAAACAAAAATATAAAAAATGACGAAAATATCTACGAATATTATTAGAGCTTTAATGCTCCTCGCTAGGTAAGAAGAATAAGAAGAATAAAAGGGACAGGAAACTGTTCTATTTCCTCCAGCATTCAGCATCCAGCATCCAGCATCAGGCCCTTAAACGAAAGATCTATTGAATAATTCAAAGAATAAGATTTTTCTTTCAAATAGAAGATGTGAAAAATCTGGTGTAAATGAATGAACAAAAAGAAAAAAAGTACATATATATATATATATTAGAAATAATTGCAAAGACTGGTCCTCTCGTAAGTGTCCTTATTTCGAGAAGAATCCTGTTATCATCATCATCATCATTATCATCATCGTGTGTTACATAATCTCTCTCAGTTGTTGAAAAAAAGCGTGATAGTAGTGTTTTGCTGTTATAAATAAATATAACACAGAATATTTGGCTTATAAATATCGTTTTAAAGAAAATTCCTATTGTAAATCGGTTATGGAATGATCCTGTGTTCGACCAATAAACTTGGACGTTCGCTACGAGCACGCCTAAACATTATCGACGAGCATCATGATAGGAGGAACGATGCGTTTGCTTATCCTGTCATATTTAATTACAATGCAATTTTGTGCAAACGTTTGTTTGTCGAACGGTGACGGCGGCCCTAATAGTCCAATATTCAATCTGGATCATACGGCATTGGAAAAGAATCTTGCTGCAATATTCATCAAGGTGGCACACAGTTCAGCTACTACGAAACGTAGCGTGCCAGCATATGACGCACAAGTATCGGCTAGTACGACATTGTCAACTGTACCATCACCTTTAACGACAACATTTAACAGTGCTACTACTACGAGTAGCACGAAATTGAACAAATCAACGACAACTACTACGACACCAAGATCTACGACTACGACAACTAGTACAACGACTACGAGTATCAGAACGATAACATCTGCATCGATCAATCCTTCGTTACATTCGATAAGAATTCCTATACCACGTGCAACACCAGCATCTTCCGGTATACGTGATTTACCATCGTATGCACCACCTTCGAGAGCCTTATTTACACCACCATTACCACCGGAATACCTTCATCCGTTTGCTGACAAACCAACGCTTAGGGGTACGAATTCTGACGTGCATACTGGCGCAAGAAGACCCGTACCACCACCTAGTCTTACTCCTGCTCATGAGAGAATACCCATCAGACCACCTGACCTAGTCCAAGTGCCTGTTTCTTCCCATGGTCCGGAAAGACACCCGCATTCAAGGAACAAAGCAATCAACACTAGCAACAATAACGGCAATTCTAAATTTGGTATTGAATTTGGTGACAACGATAAGAAAAATAATTCAAACGAGTTTGTACCGACGCTTCATTATCCAAGCATATCGCGCATACTTTCTGGTAGCAATGGTAGAAAACAAGACATTCCTGAGATTCTTTTGAAACCGCTTGCTACTAAAAGCCCTTTGCAAAACGTACCATTGGTTATAACGACTGAGAGATTAAGTACGTCGACTGCCATGTTGCCGGTAATGACGGCAACAGCAATGGGAACTAGTACTATGATGCCAATTACAAGTAGTACAATTGATCCTTTTAAAAAGGTCACTCAACCGACTATTTTCAACCTGCCAAATACGAGAAGACAAGAGAACGATGGGGATTATTTGCATCGTATGAGAACTGAGAATGGTTTCAAAACTGACAATATTGAAATAGTCGATACCGAAAGACTGCCAAATCCTCAACCTCAACCACCTGCACCACCGTCTAAAAGACCAAACGACAAAGACGATGATTCTTTGGTACCACACATAGATACTAATCCATTAGAAGCAACTTGGAAAATTGCTTGGTCACTTCACGTTTACGTAGCAGCCATCATGTTTACCCTAATGGCATTGTATTCGATTTACAAGATCGTACGTTTCAACGAAGCTACCAATCTTCTTAGCCAATCGTATTTTCTTGCCGTTCATCTATTGTTAACTACCGTGTGTACATTGAGATGTTTTCATTTGTTCTACGACGCGTACAATTTGGGACATTCCTTGCCGGAACCATTGTCACGGGTTTTAATGTACTTACCAGCACCGTTGTTGTCAGCAGCATTCGCAACACTCATGTTGTATTTAGCCCGATGTTCCGAAGCACCCTCGTTGAACAACAAACTGTTATCACCAATTTCCCTTGTTTTTTTCTCAACCATACACATCATTCTATGCGTCTCTCTCCACGTGTCAACTCACGTGTTGGGTTATCGAGACGAAGCAAAGATATTACCCCTAGTTTGTCAGTGTATTTACATCACTGTATGCGTAACCCTCGGTCTCTTCTATGCTTACGTGTATCGTGTCGTACGTTCTCAGATACACATTATGAACAATAAAACTGCTGGTGTTAATCACGTAGTCGCTGGGATTGATCCATCGACGGTGGCATTGAGCACGGCCATTACTACTACCATAGCAACCGCTCTGGTCTTCGTAGTGATGGGTTTTGTACAGCTCTATGATATTTTTGGTATACGCGAACGTTCCCAACCTTATCCTTGGTTCTGGTGGGGTTGGCAATTCCTCATCAGGTTACTAGAACTGATCGTTTGTGGATTATTGGTTTGGGTTGCTAGTCTCTCGCAATATCCATTAAGGGAGAAACAATTACAACAGCATCCAGCTCATTCGGGTTTTGCTTTATTCCCATGCGGGAGTTCAACGTCCACGGAAAATATGGACGACGTATTGTATCCAGCTATATGCAGTACCAATCAAGCGATACAGAATTATACCATGAGGACTGGGAAACAGGTCTACGATGACAGTTTTCCATTAAACACCTTGCCCGAACATTTGAACATATCAGGTATTATTAATACACATTATTATTACAATATAAATGAAATAATATTAATCCAATTGATGTTATTCCTATTAGGTACCTTCGAAAGGCATTCCATACGAAAATCCGGCACGATGGGTCATTTTCCCCATGAAGGAAGGGGATCATTGAGTCGTCATGGCAATGGTGTGCAAACTTTAAGAAATTCTGAGACTCGTGGCAGGCATACACCTGTCCCAGCTTTACACGAGCAAGCTCCAACGACCGGGTCTACGATGCTGGTTGCTGAAGATGGCTTCGTTAGGTTTCGAAGTTTAGGTGCGGAAGAAGACGATTTGTCCGATACCCAGAGTATGGTTGGTACTCATGGTAGAGGGAGTTCGTTGGCTGGTAGCGTTAGATTTAACGCGAGGCATAGCAACATTCAACATCAACATCAACAACATTCGCAGCATCAGCATACTAATCCTCATCAGCATCAGCATCAACACTCGTTGCAGCAGCATACTCACCCAAGCCAACATCAGACCAATCATCATCAACTTTACAACAATACGTAGAAGAGATTCGTCGTCGTTGGTCGTGTTTAATTATTACGATTATGCGGCTCAGTGAAAACACCTACAATTACAATCGTTTATTATATCAGCTGTTAAGAGGAATTAATACGACTTTGTAATAATACGGCTGAATAATTAATCGATAAAAAAGAGAACATTTCGAACAAATGAAAATATATCGCGTTAATTATACATATATATATATATATATATATATATATATATATATATAAATATTATACATACACGTGTCACTAATTACACGTTATACACACCCCCCATACACACTCATTCCACTCGAGAGGAGGAAATGAAAAGCGTGAAACGCTTTTTAAAATCATCATCTTCATCATCTTCATCGATCGTCATCATCATCATCATCATCATCATCATTGACACAATCGTTGTCCTACATATTGTCAAAGTTATTCAAACCACTTTTTTCAATTTGTATGTAGCGTTTTGCCGCCGATTGTCGATTAGTTTTCATTGTCATCGAAAATGAGACAAAATTCGTGGATAAAAAAAAGGTGTGTTAAAAGTGAGTTTTACGCGAGTGTTGACGTTGGTTTGTTGGGATTATAAACATGATCAGATATCTCGCGAAAGAAAAACTTGTTGTCAACGTACAGGGATTGGAAAATGAGAGGGAGGGACTGGGCTGGGTGAGGAGGGCCAACAATTTGATCCAAAATTTTCCTGTAAGTGATGTTAAAAATCAACTATTGTTTCTTTTTCTGTTTTTTGAGAGAGAGGGAGAGACTGAGGAGAACTCCTAACCTCTTCATCATCATCTTAGATTGTAAGATGATTGAAAAAGATGAAAAATAGTCTCAAAAATAAAGATTAAAAAGAACATATTTGATTTTTTTTTAACTATAATCACTTATAAAGGAATGTTGGATTTGGCCTTGAAGAATATTTGTATGGAAATGAAGAAGAATGTATAAACTTGCCCTGTGTTGTGTTGTATAGAAAACAAAATGAAACTGAAAGAAAGAAACAAAAAATCATTCCTATATATATATATATATTTCTTGCTCCTCTCATTTTTACATGTGTGTCTTATCATGAAGGTCTTATTCACATGATTATTGCGCATTGTCATCTCTAACTTTGACGAGTCGAGCAGCTAAAACTATCTTCACCAACTACTACCCTCTATAATGTACTTATATTTATTTTCTATCTTCTAAAGAAGAAAGAAAGAAAGGAAGAATGGAAAAATGGAAAAATATGAATGATGAAACAAAGCAACACGTAGAAGCAGCAGAAACAAACAAACAAATAAACAAAGTATACGGCAAAACTCTCGTTTGTTCATAAAAACGAGATTTCATGTTTCGTATCTGGATAGTCCAGGGTATTTCGAGTCGTAATGTTAATAAATTAGGCACTTGGTACTTACTAAGGATACGTGTGATTTAAACAAAAAAAAAAAATAATAAATGAAAAGATTACGAAGAGAAAATAAGAAGAAATAAATAAAATAAAATAATAATAATAATAATAATAATATAAAAAATATAAATTATAACGTGTCTCTCCCTATTAACGTAAAACAAAAACAAAAAAAAACCAAAAAAAAAAACAAAATGAAAGCCGAAGCCTTTATTTTTTCATATATTTTATTTATTTCTCTATTCTTTTCATTTAATTATTATTATTATTATTATTGTTATATTTTTTTAATCGGATTGATATTTAAAACATTTGTGCCCGTGTTTGAAAAAACTATTATAGATTTTTTTCTTCTCATTTTTTTATTTCTAATTATTATTATTATTATTATTATTATTATTATAAAATAAAAAAGGAATAAAATAATAATAATAATAGTAATAATATATAATGATAATAATAATAATAATAATAATAGATGGGATTGATGAGAAAAAAAAAAGAAAAAGAACAAAGATATAAAACATTTTTGTGTTATTTTTCAATATGGCGCTTATGCACTACGTGCTCCAATCACACACCTGTTCTCTTCTGGTCGGTTCGTGTTCTTTTATTTTTATTCATTTTTTTTTTTTTTTTTAAATTCTCCCATGTGTTCATAATTACGTCCTTTTCAACGATATTCCAATGAGAGATATATTTTTCAATAGTATTATAAAATACACACACACATATACATACATATATATATATATGTATGAAAATGAAAATGAAAATGAAAATGAAAATGTCAGAAACAATTGCAATTTTCCTCTCTAACATATATTATTATTATTAACGAAATATTACGATTATCTCGAAAAAAATAAAACATACAACATAAAAACGATATATTCTAAAAAAACGGAGAAACAATTCTCAAATTTACAGCTAAATTATTGTCGAATCAAGCGAACAACACAACCAACTAAATATATATATATATATATCGTTTGTACAGTAAATAATAATTTAGTGATCGATTAATCAACAATCGATTAAAACGAATGTAAATTTTATTATTCATCGTCCAACCCTCTGTAAGCCCAGGGTAAACAAATTATTGATTTGTTTTTTTTATTATTTAAAAAAATATATAGGTATATTTATATATATATATATATATGAATTATATAAATTGAACTAAATCAATTGTTGTTAATATCGATGTTCCTTTTACATAAAAAAAATTATTTATAAAATATCCTACATTTATTCTTATGTATATTTTAAACAAAACAAAAATACAGTAGTCACAAAATTGTTTTGATCGTGCGAGAAACATGCAAGTTTGTTTTATTACAAAAAAAACAACATGGCTTCTTCATACAGTTGAAATAAGGTTCGCGTGTTTAAATGAAACAACAAAGTAAAATATAAAAAAAAAAAAAAAATAGGAAAAGGTTCAATACACCCTTTACAATGCTACCCTTACGTTATTGTAAAAATAATTTACAAATGTAATCCCTAATGTGTTGGTATGCATTGCAATTTTTAATTACTGTAAAATATTTTTCAAACAATGTGGGCTGTTGTATAGAGGGGTTTTTTTTTTTTTTTTTAATTTAAGTTATTAAGAATGTTTTTAATTTATGTTTATTAAGATTTATTCGTTAAGTTAGAACGTATACGTTTTAAATAATAATAATAATAATAATAATAATAGTAATAATAATATGTGTATAGATATTATTGAATTTAATTTTTAAGAAGTGATAGAAGAATAAAGAAAAAAAAAAACAAAATACAGAAGATGCGAATATGAGAAACAAAAAAAAAACAAACAAAATGTAAATTTGAATTGACATATGAAGCAGCCAATTTAATTATTTGATAGTTTTCTTTTTTTTTTTTTTGGTTTTTGTTGGTTCAATTTACTTCTCAGAACTTAATGGTACAAAGTAGGAGTTTCTACTTTTTCTTTTTTTCGTATATTTAATATATATATATACATATATATATATATATATAGGCTTAAGCAATTGTGCAGTCTGTATGTTTATATCCGACATTTGTAAATACGACAAGTACATAATTATAAACGGGCTCTTATTATTGATGATAATGACGATAAAAATATATTTGTCAGACGGTAGATTTTTACAAAGTAAAATGAAGAAGCAAAAGAAGAAGAAGAAGAAGAAGAAAAGTATGGCGATGTTAAAGGAAAAACAAAAAAAAGAAAAGAAAATCTATCGATTAGAAGGGGTTGTGCGCAATTATCAACGTTTACGACATTATCTCACAATCTAAATTGTAAATTTTATATAATTTCATTTGTTTTTTTAATTTATATTTAAACAAAAAACTTTGTATTTATTATGTGAACAAACACATTCCACAAAAAGTTAAATAAGAAGAAGAGGGGGAGAGAAAGAATTGAATTAGTGGAATTTTATTGCTATTTTAGATTAAAAATAGTGCACGTGAGAGAGAGAGAGAGAGAAAGAGAGAGAGTGTGTGTATATGTGAGAAAAAGAAAGAGAAAGAGAGAGAGAGAGAAAGAAACAAACAAATGTTGTAAATAAAAAGCTTTTTGCGAAATATTATATGCTCGTCTCGGATTATCATTTTTTTTTTCTTTTTCTGTGAGTTTGTTTAAATAAGTATTTAAAAAATCATGCACACAGACACACACACACACAAATTTATGTATATGTGCGTTTAACTGTACATAGATATGTATAAATGTAGATAAGTTATATATCTCTTTAAAAAACTACATCAAATAACTTGAATGTAATTTTGCTCTTTAAAATCATCATCATCATCATCATCATGATCATCATCATCATCATCATCATCATCATTATTATTATTATCATTATTAATAATATTATTGATGGAAATAATCGAATTGTATTTTGCATTTGAAAAAAAAGAACAAAAACATGGCGCGTGTAAAATTGGAAAATATCAAAACATCGATTGAACATTTTTACAATTAGATCAATTTATTGTAGAATTATTCGCTTATTGTTCGAAATTTTAGAAAAATTGTTTAACAAAAGGATAAATATATATATATATATATATAAATAATAATTATTAATCAACGAGATTCTGAGTTTTGAACGCGTCATAAAAAGGATTGTTGAAATTTGAAAAATGGCGGGTAAATAAAACAATCGCCACACAGATGTCGCCTTAGGCGTATTATTATTATATTGAATAATATCATACTATCTTATTCAAAGTAATTTCTTCTTTGCAGTTTATAAAGTGCATTCCATTAAGAAGGATCATACGGAAGGAAAAAAAAAAGAAATAAGAATGAAAATTACTGGTGAGTTATTGGCGTGTGCTGCCATTTTATTTTATTATATACTTAAATAAGATACAATAATTTATCGTATTTTTTCTGTGACACGTATTATTCTGTCTAGAAAAATTATCAAAATTATTTATAACGTATTTGCGAGTATTACTTTAAAAAAAAAAAAAAAGGGGGAGAAAAATCAATTTGAATTGTAATTATATTTACATTTTTTTTTTTCGTGTACAATTGAAGAGCGACATTTAGCATTTTTATTAATAATTGAACAACAACAAAAAGTAGAATTAGTTTGACAGGTAAGAGAAAATGATCGAAAATTATGAATAATAATTTTTTGGTTATATTTCTTTTTGTAAATCTTAATTATTAACTTTTATTATATAATTATTAATCATATATTTATTGTAATTTATTTTAATTATTTATAATATTAATAGAAAATTATCATGTGATTCATGATTTAATTATCATTGAAGTTTTCATGATATAGTTCTGCAAGATTCCGATAGATGTCGCTCGTACACGTTAAAAGGAAATGTAGGGGGCAGTTGCTAAGCTATTTACAGAGTAATAAATTGCAATTATTTTTCTTGTTTTTTTTTTTTTTTCTTTTTGTTCATCTTCTTGTTCATCTTCTTGTTTAGTTAGTGTCGATCATTTTCAATGAGCAAATTGCCACTTGAGTGTCTGGTGCCCTACAGAATGGCTTTGAATTATCCGATGCAACATATTCATTCACTCGGTACGTCAACATTGTTTCATATGCATATACATCTATAGCAAGTTGCTAAAATAATAAAAATAATATTTATTTATTTTGTTATATATGTTTAAACAATTTTTAAAAATTCGCAGTACTTTTTTTTCAAACATTTTGTAAAATTTAGGGGAAAAAATGGTAACATAAAAAGAGCGCGAATTTTCAAAATTGTAACACAGTCGATAAGTAAATAATTTGTTTAATTATTTTATAAAGTACTAAAACAATTTTTAAAAATTCGCCATCTCATTTTATAATATAATTTTCGTATGTGGAAACATATTTTCAAATTTAGGGGGAAAAAATGGTTACATAAAAAGAGCGCGAATTTTCAAAATTGTAACACAGTCGATAAGTAAAAAATTTATTTAATTATCTTATAATATACTAAAACAATTGTTAAAAATTCGCAGTATATTTTCTTTTCAAATATTTAAATATAATTTTCGTATATGAAAACTAATTTAGAAGAAATTAAAAAAAAAATTTATTAACATGGAAAGAGCGCGAATTTTAAAAATTGTAATAGTCGATAAGTTAGAAACTCTAATTACCGATAAAGTAAAATACAATTTTACCTGTGTTAAGGGGCTGGTATTTGTGGTAAAGATACCAGCGTATTCCTTCTTTCTAGCAATTCTTAAACAATATTCCTCCATTTCTCCCATGACAATAACATTTTCGGCAGGTGCCAAATCGGCATGAGTCGCCATCATGAAATTATGTATAATTTGTCCGGTACCTTTAGGCAATTTGTTCTCACGAATTGGTTTTTCCAAATATTCCAAAAATTCGAATATTATCGACAATTTCGAATCAATTTCAACTTCCGGCTCGTCCCATAGATCAAAATTCAAACCAACACCAATCACACGATCATTTTGCGATGATTTCACGACGAAACTCAAATCTTTTTCAACCAATGGTTCCCATAATTTGTCCATTAACAATTTATAATCTTCCCTTTTAATGTCATCTATCAACCATTGTTCTAAATCGGCTTTAGAATAAAAACTTTCTGTAATAATCCTGTAAAATATTATGATAAAATATTAAAACATAATTTGATTGTTTATAAATAATAATAATAATCAAAATATCGGTATCGGATTACGTAATATGCGAAATAATTGTCGTGTTCGTTTTAATTAACCTCACTTTTAATTAACCACACTTTTAATTATACATAGGTTGGTATATAATTAAAAAATAAGTTGTATAATTATTTCAAAATACTTGGGAACGTTATATAAGTTTTTTAATAAAAATATTTCCCATGTATAGATATACAGGGTGTCTCATATAAATGTATTCACGATTTTTCTAATTCTTGCGATAATTTGACCAGAAAAAATTATTTTGAAACAAAAGTTGATCTATCTTTGATTAACTATAATAAATTACAACAAAAAATTAATATAACAAAATATTTTAATATTTTTTAATGCTATTTTAGTAATTTTCTTTTAAATGACACTACATTTTTGCTTTTACAGTGTTATGTACGACGTATTAGTTCTTGAATTCAGTTTATATAGGACACCCAGTATATAAAAAGATATTTTTGATATTATTAGTATGGAGGGTAGAGGTAAGGAGTAACATCTCTTATGGGAGAAAATTTGAAAAAGTATCCAGCGTATGCTATAAATAATAGTTCAAAAAGCTTCCAGAATGGCGCTGGTGTAGACAAAAGGTATGGTATGAATGTAGCAATTGTAAACGAAT